CTTACATATGTATTATATTTTTTTAATCAAACATAATATAAATTAATAATAAAAAATTTTTAAAATAATAATATGCTTTTTATAATTCAAATAATAATTTATTTTTGTTTATTCCGTTTAAACCGTTATGTCGGTTCATTTAGATTGTATTTGGACAATAGACCGGTAAGTTTATGATTTGTTTGAATTTCAACACGATTAGCTCAATTTTGACATTTCGTTCAGTTAGTACGTCAAGACCAGTCGTTGAATAACCTAAACGAAGGGACATTTGGATAAATTTTTAAAATTTTATATGCATTGGCATTGAGAAATTTATGATTTTCTAAAAATATACCGTTATTTTTTAAAGTGCAGTTTTTCACATGGTAATGTGCAATTTATATATCATTATTGTGCATTTATCAAACTTTTTGAAAAATATGCCTTTATTTTTTTTTTTAAAGTGCAATTTATCACAAGGTAATGTGCAATTTATATATCATTATTGTGTATCTGATAAAATTTCGTTATATTAAAGAATGACCATATTTGCAAAAATAATAATAATAATAATAATAATAATGACCACGCACTAAATTGGAAAAATATATTAACATTTTACAAATTGCAAAAAAGTCCCTGAAATATATTAAATTCTCACCAAAAAAACCCCACATCCAACGAAATGAACACCTGCAACTACACAGCCAGAATTCATGTCGAATCCTATACAGACGCTGTCGCCCATGCCGTCCTCGGCATCAATGTCCGGCTACAACCCGACGCCGGCCTCAGCCAAAATATAATAAAAAATAATAATAATTGATTCACTTCACAGTCCATCGCCATAGTCCATTCACCTCTGACATCGTCCGTCAATCGATACACAATATCTACCGACCATCATCCAAACACACACAGAGCACACACGAGTTTTATCTCGTTCGTCGATCTGATTTGACTCGTTGGCGGCAACGTCGTGGAGGAATGTGTTGGGTTATGCCGGGGCACTTTGTGTCGCATCCATCTCCGGTGACGGGCTGCGGGGGGATCAGCGACAAAAATC